CGGGACCTCGAACTGGAGCCGCGCAGACGCCTGACCACGAGGCGCTCCCGACCCGGACCGAGAGAACGGCGACCTGGGGGGAGGGGGCGGGGCGCGTAGGAAGGAGGAGGAGAGAGAAAGAGGGCGAAGCCAGCGCGAGATTAGGGAGGAGAGGAGGATAGAGACGGAGTTGGCGAGATGCTGAGAATTCACGATTGTGGGGACCCTGCGCGGGAGAGAAACTTCAGGAAGCACGTCGGAGGCGGGGCATCTGTGGAAGGAAGGCAAATTTTGCAGAGCAGTAAAGGAAGCCGGGAAGGGCAAGTTAGCCATGGGGAGACGCCGCAGAAATGCGGAGCTAAAAACAGGGCGGTTAAGTAAGCAAGAGCTGGTTAGCTGAATACGAGGTGCCTAGAATGTAAATTATAAATAAATACATAAAAAGGAAAGAAATGAAAGAAAAAGAAAAGAACGCTCTGTAGGGTCCCAGGTCCAGGCGCTGGGAGCAGCCCGGGCGGGGACCCTCCCAGCCCACAGTAGCCGCCGCCCGGAGTCCCTAAAGTGGCTCCCACGTGGCTACTCGGGGATCTCCCAGGCCTGGGGGGCCCATTTGAAAATCTCGAGAGGCCTCGCACATCCTGCCAGGACTGGAGCTGCTGGGGCCCCTCAGTCTCCCACGGATGCTCCTCTGCGCGTGTTTTCCAGGAAAACATTTAGGCCTCAGAAGCGTCTTTGAGAGCCTAGAAATGCCGGTTGCGCGTGAAATCCAGTCCAACCTACTCACAGAGTACTAGACCTGGAAACGACGTCTGAAAGAGATGTGCGTTCCATGCTGACTTAAATTTTGTTCCATTTATGACGACGTATTTGTTTTCAAAGAAAAGAAAAATTGCTTAGCCAAGCTTCTCACGTCCCCATCCCCCTGTTCCTGCCTCGCTCTTTCCCTAGACAAACGCGGGGAGCCCTGGAACGGGAGAGCCAGTGACCGGTGACCGTGAACACGGTAGCGATGTGATTTGATGCATTGAAACTACTTATATTTCCAATGTTACTTCATTAAAGGAAACCCACAGAAAACGTGTCTGTTTCATCTTAATTGCCAAAAAAGTTTGCCACACCCCCGAACGGTAACTGTTTCCCCCCCAAGACACCGAAAGCTCATAAGGAACCACAATGAGAAAGGATCAGGAACCGCTTAAGTTTTATTGAAATGCCTTGATGCCGTTTTTTCTTCTTCCCCGAATTAAGCCGCCGTGGGAGGAGGTGGGTCGCGCCCACCGTTGCCAGGACTCAGGCCGGCAGACACGGGCCACAGCGCCCCCTCGCCGCCCGCGC